CACACTCGAAAAAGCTATTTGAAGCTGGTGTCGTACCTTTTTCTTAGTTTTTAACATTCACAAAAGTTTCGTTGTGACAGACAAAGGCTCTGAAACCAAATATTTCTTGAAGAAAACTACATGTTTTGCAACCGATCAGTAGTTAATTGCTTTATGTTTTGATATTCCATGAGTTTCTCTCTATATATGTATGGCTAATATCACTTGTTTTATGTCTCAAGTTTTGAAACAGGTATATTTATTAAGGGAATTCACAGATATTTCAAGTTGGAGTTGTCTTGCTTTGAGAATCGTTCTTGTTTCACGCCCTATGACAAGTTGATGCAAGATTAGCACCGGTGGATTTCCAGTGAATTTATGATTTGCATCTAATCAAAAGTGTTTGAACAGTTATATTCAAATTTGTTTGAATTTAAATAAGCAGGGATCTTTATCTTTCAATGATATTTTAAGGGAAGGGGATCCTCTCTTCGCATTGATCGAAGAAACCCTTCGTAAAGGAATAAACAATATTGATAGGTTAACGCTGAATTAGACGAAACCCGTTATTTTTTATTGTCTTCTTTGAGTAGGGTATATATGTTCCACCTCATTTTTTACTTATAAAATGGCGATACGTCAATAGGCGACAACAATCCTTGCAGCATCTTGAAAATTGAATTGCCTCCTCAAATTTAACAAAGAAATATCATAATCTAGCATACTACTGAAGTTGTATGAATATTATTTCTGAGATGGTTGATAATTAAATTATCAAAAATTCTGCTATACACTACAGTTTTATGTTGTGGCGACTTTAAAAGGGCAGAAAATCTTTAAACTAATCGTTTAACAGGACTCCGCAAGGCTGGAAGTCGCCAGCAGACGAGTAACGGATTCAGAGCTGAGTTTGAAAATACCACAGTGCCAGTCAGTTGACGAACCATATATCGGTGAACCAATCTTCCTCCTTGAAATAACTTCCAAAGTCATGGCTACAAGGTATGGCAAGTAACATAATAACAAAAGATAATACACAAGAAACATGTTTATGCAAGTTTTCATAAAGCGCGCCATATTGAATTGATATGTTATGTGTACTGCCTGTTCTTGCGTTTCGATTTCCCTTCTGTGGCGATCGACGGATAATTCGGAGGATCTTAATATGGATGACTGTAGACACATTAGGGAAAACTGTGATCAAAGTTATTTCCAGGAAGAAAAATGCTGGCGGATACCAGAGCCGTACAGTCGAAAAAAAAGGGTACTTAAAACCCAGCTCGAAAAAATGAGGTAAAAAACACGTGGTCGCCAAAAGTCTATCCATGTTGGTAAACGTTACATGTGAAATCGAAACTCCACAAACTATATACGAAACGATATTATATACCTTTTCCAGCGTACTGTCTTCTCCTTTTGGATAACCATGGATTTTTAGCAATTCCACGGCGACGAATAAGGGCTCCACGACGAAACCAACAGCAACATCAGACAGCGCGAGACCAAAGAGGAGCGAAATCGAGGGTAGCGTAAGGATGGCGTTCTCCAAACCGCTTCTAGCACCAAGCTATTTGCCAAGATCGATACTATCATCAGAATAGCGTTCGCAGTTAAATCGAGGACGATGAAGAGATGTGGAACGTTCTCATTCTCAACCGAGGTCAGCCCGGCTAAACGCCGGCGAAGATTGTTGTTTATCATGGTCATGTTTGCGATCCCTGAGTCATTTAAGGAAAAATTATCATTCATATTTTACCACGAAGATGAAATCCTCGATATCCCCTGTCAATTCGAGGAGGTGGTTTAAAATGCTGATATGATTGTTTGTCTGGTCCTTGAGGTAGGCGTTGTATTGTTTTATAAACCCGAAAGCATATCAGTTAAATCAACAAATGTCGACGAGCGAGGAAACTGTCAGAAACTTTTATGGCACAGCTGCGAACATAGTGAGTTCTAGAAACGCTTTTAAAGCCTTTTTTGATACGCCCTTTGTCTCCCCTGCTCTAAAAAAGCCTATAATACAAAGCTATTGCAAGATAACGCGGCAACAATGAGACTAGACAAAATTTAGAAGCATTGTACTGTTATACTTGTGATCGAGATTAGCGTACATTTTGGAATATTATTACAGTTAAAATCTTGTAGTAGAGTTCGTGTTCAATATTGTGAGACTTTCAACCGAAAAAATGCATTATCTAAACGGTAGAGGCTACAGCTGAGGAGAAAAACAATGAGTCACGCTTCAAATTGTGCCTCTCTATGAACTTTACTAAGTCCTCCCTTTCCACTAAGCCCCCTTCCCCCACTCCCCAAGTTTGGAAGTTCTACAAAGTAGTACCCTCCTCTTTACTGGAGGGTTAGGCCTGTTAGAATTTATGAAGTATATCAAGCTGGAGATCATTTGAAAAACTTGCGGAGTCCCTCCCACTTAGTGAATAAATTTGCTATTATCTTAACGCTCAAGGCGCAGATGCGTTTTGCTCAGCTTTGCTAGTTCATAACGTTGGCTAAACAAAGTGAATTTGTTTATTGGAAGTCTATGAACGTAGGTGTGTGAAAAGCTGCTTCAATGTGGAATCATCATAGACATTTTTAATAATATTTATGAATTTCACCGTGAAAAACAAGGGATCCATGGCGTAACATTATAAAGTAAGTGACCTCTCTTTGGTACTAACCCTTATACGGTCAATATTTTAGTTTGGGAAAAAACATTTTCTTAATGAGATCATGACAGGTTCACGTATGGCAGGAAGTCGCCAACAGTAAAGAAACGGGTTCAGTGCCGAGTTAAGATACGCTGCTGTATTCGCCAGTTTCCAAAGGACCGGTGAGTTTATATCATTTTCTGAAACAATGCTGAGAATCCAAGCAATGAACAAGGGAAGATAACATAACAGTAAGAAGTAGTAAACAAAGAACGAATTTATGCAGCACTTTTTAAGGCGTGCCACGTTTAACTCGTTTGTCACATAAACTGCTTGTTCTTGAGCTTGGATTTCATTTCTGTGACGGAGGACGACTCGGTAGATTTTAATGTAGATTGTTGAACACGTACTTATAAACACTGCCATCGCAACTGCAACCGCGTAAGAAAATACAATCGTATTCCACAGCAACAGAGTCGCACAAAAGGTGCTTCCAACCCAACACAAAATAATAAGAGCATAAACACGTGGAATGGTAACGATGGTGTCGTATCTTAGAGGAAACTGAATCGCTAAGTATCTATCCAAGCTTGTGAGTGTTACATTTGCAAATGAAACCCCGCAAAGCACAAACGCAATGATGAAAAACGTTGTTTCAAGTCGGCAATCACCTTTTGGTTATCCATACATTTTTAACAACTCTACAGCGATGAACAAAGGTTCCACAATTGAACCAACGGCAATATCAGAGAGTGCGAGACCACAAAGAAGCAAAATTGAAGGGTAACGTAACGAGGGCGTTTTCCACACCGCGGTTATCACCACACTGTTTCCAAAGATCGATAATATCATTAGAATGGTGTTCACTGTGGAGTTTAAAACGATGAAGAGCCGTGGAACGTTTGCATTTTCGAATGCAGTGTAGCGATGGCACAATCCGTCCGTGAACGTCACGTTCGCAATGCGAGAACAGTTCAAGCAAGACCTTTCACTCATTATCAACGGTGCTTCACAAAATGTTAAAATGGTCGATGGAAAAAGACATTTTATACTGACGATATATCTTTTTGGTTTTGTATTTCAGCAAACCTTCCTTTTTGTCCCGAAAAACGG